GCTTCAGCATTTCCGGTACTTGTAATTGCTTCCTGATATATGCGGACGGGTCCAGTGACAGTTGCCAAATTGATTTCCATCCCCCTTCGGTCGGACGTGCGATTGATTTTCAATAATCCAGTCGGATCCTTATAATTCATTAATAGTCAGGTACTCATTTGTCATCCCTTAGCTATGACCGAGCGTATTACGTATTTTCATTGAATTGCTATTAATAATTATCCATATGGGATTAATCGAGGGGTAAAGTAATAGGAACGGACTATAACGCACCCATATAGTCTCTAATTGGTGCACTGTGGCGCGATGCTGTTTCCAGCTATGAATTAGAGGGTGGATGGGTGTTTCGCAACCCTTGCTAGTTCTGACGCTTATTTTTCTAAGGGTTCACACTAGGCTCGAGTAATTACGACAACGTATGTATGACAGGCTCGGGGATGAAACCCTTTTAGCATTGAAGCCTACGTCACGTGACGCCTCTTGGCTCAGACCTAGGGGTCACTTGCTGGAAAAATATTTTTTTCTTTTACCACCCCTCGCCTTGCATATTTCTACAGTGCTATAGGTATATCCAATGTGTGCCTCTGCTATGCGTCTATAGGATGCTCGCCCTCTGTACGGTCCTCCTCGTGTTTATTATAATGCCACCAGTGGATATTGAAGCTACATTATTCGCAATCACGGCACGTCCGTACCCACGTGAATTCGGCTTACTGCAAGTAAGGGACGGCTCGAGTATTCTAGGGGATGAAATCCAGCGATCGTATGCCAGGACGTTTATCGGTGCCGATTTTCGAACGTATCTTTTCTTTTTTGGAAATCAACCCTGAGAGCACTTAGGGGTTGTTTTCAACGGATACAAGCATCCCCCGGTCGTCCAATTTAATCGAAGATTGTATACCGTTCGAAAACCTACCCTTATGTGCTTACTACTATCGGTCGAGCGTTTTATGCTTTTTCTATATTGTTATTGATATTCTATTTTTTTTTTTTCTATGGATATTACTGGTGGATACGATGAGACACTTTTTCTTAATTAATAAATTTGCACAGACTGCACTTGTATCGATGCATCGTATGCACTTGAATGCAGTCGAATCAGTCGTATCGTCACAGCTGATGCAATTATTTATACTGCGATACAATCCCGACGTAAATTTAATTTTCAAAATGAGAATAGACGCTACTGATAATACGTATCTTAGTGTCAGAAATATTAAATATATGAAAGCATTGTCGAGCTTGTAAAATTTGAAAATCATAATAGCAGCAACGAGCTAAAATTGTTCGTTGCCATTCTCTATTAAGTTTACGTTAGTTCTTATTTTAATTGAAAAAATTATAAATTTCACTTTTACTGTATTCGAAATTGTATTTTCGATGTGTTAATATACGTATGTACGTTGTGTATTGCATAACACGTGTATTCTCGTATGCCAGTAATTTCAGCCTATCTACGTTCAGGAAAATTCATCACGTACGATCAAGGGGCCACTCGAGTCTGCTTGAAATTTCGTTAAATCTGTTTCATCCCCTCGTGATTGGGGTACCAAACATACGTTACATTCACGATAGGCGAAAATGGACGTCAAATGTATTATCAAGCTTATTTGCATTGTTAGGGTACTTAGTCATTTTTAATTTGTCATTATTTTACGAGATTCATTAAATTCCAACGTGATATGTCATACGTATTACATGTGTTTTGGGACTGTCGTGCATAAAACAGATATTGTTTGAAAGGTTCATAGTGACCGTACATGGGTAACATATATTTGTAAACATATTTATTAAATATATTCCTATCAGTGACTTGTTAATAGAAGATTACACTTGAAAATTGCATTTAAATGAAACCGCATTTGCATTGCACATGGTGAATATTTAATCCTGTCGGAGTGCTCAGAAAATATTGAACAAGGGTGTGCGTCGAAGAAACGATGGAAATTATAAGAATCGACGAACCCTATAAATAGCCAATTCATCAATCATGCAATGCCGGAGATTTTAAATGTAGTTGGCACGATCCTAATGCCTGTGGCAACTACCCCTTGTAGGTTAGGTCACGAAATGTAGGTTATACGAGTCTGATAAAAAGTAAAGTCGCCCTTTCACGTCAAGATTAGTATTTAAGATTTTGACGGTTGCTTAACGTGGGTCATACACGCCATTTAAAGGGTATACGAAACATTAATACTTAACCGTTATACAAAAGAACCGAGCCCCCCCCCCGTATCGGACCCTGAATCCTGGCTTTTAGCCATGAATAAAAACCACCCCTATACGTATACATATAAAGTGTCACGTGGTATACCCGGACTTTCCTATTTAACATTAATACTTAATAAACATTAATACTTAACCGTTATACAAAACAACCGAGCCCCCCCCGTATCGGACCCTGAATCCTGGCTTTTAGCCATGAATAAAAACCACCCCTATACGTATACATATAAAGTGTCACGTGGTATACCCGGACTTTCCTATTTAACATTAATACTTAATAAACATTAATACTTAACCGTTATACAAAACAACCGAGCCCCCCCCGTATCGGACCCTGAATCCTGGCTTTTAGCCATGAATAAAAACCACCCCTATACGTATACATATAAAGTGTCACGTGGTATACCCGGACTTTCCTATTTAACATTAATACTTAATAAACATTAATACTTAACCGTTATACAAAACAACCGAGCCCCCCCCGTATCGGACCCTGAATCCTGGCTTTTAGCCATGAATAAAAACCACCCCTATACGTATACATATAAAGTGTCACGTGGTATACCCGGACTTTCCTATTTAACATTAATACTTAATAAACATTAATACTTAACCGTTATACAAAACAACCGAGCCCCCCCCGTATCGGACCCTGAATCCTGGCTTTTAGCCATGAATAAAAACCACCCCTATACGTATACATATAAAGTGTCACGTGGTATACCCGGACTTTCCTATTCGCATACGAAAAAGCAGCGTGGTATCTTTTTCCATGAATTGCAATAATATTCTCGCAGGGTTTATGCATACTTTACCACCCGCCCTATTTAAGGGTCGTAACACGCATGCGTCTATTTTCCGCGCAGACATTCGAGTCTGGTTACGTTGGAAATTCGTAAGCGTCCGTAGGGCTCTCAAGATAAATAGTTTTTCACCCCCGTGTGAGGAAGGGAAACGTTACCGTCGAAAGAAAACTGCCACCCGGTATAGTATATCCTGCGTGTATACACGTGATACAGGGAGACGGGTTGGGATACGAAAAGCCTTTCTTTTCAGGTAGCCCAGCAAGTAATTAAATGGCTGTTGTATTTAAGCATCAGGGGTGCAACAATCAATAGGGATTTTATCATTCACAAAGTGGTATCTCGCTATCAGGCTAATCCCACGTTATAAGGGATGACGGCGACGCGGTAAATGCGAACTCTGTTGAAAATTTTGCATTGCTCGCGAATAAGGGTTGCTCGGCATTATTTAAGGGCGAAACGAGAAAAGCCGGGGACGATGGATAATTTTTATTTTATCAATTTTGACATTTTTCCTTTGGCAGTCTGTACGTTGAGTTTTATCCCGTTGAAATAGGGGTGTCTCGAATTATAAAGTAAAGGGGGTGGCTTTTTTAAGGGAGGAACACGCAGAGCGGTGTTACCGTGTACGATTGGTTTTTATGAATTTAATTTGTGTTTCTTTCGATAAACCCGAAGGAACGTCATTGGACATTTCGGAAGAATCTTCGAAGGGCATAAAATAGCGGATACGTCCTGAAGAGACGTTGGTCCACGAGATGCTGGACGCGGGGAAGATCTCGGGGAATTCCCCGAGCATTTTAGTCTTTCAATATGTCTAGTGGATTTTCTCTTCCTCTTATATTTTTCCCTTGAAATTCCCTAGGAGTGCCAGGGGAAAAATAAATCTCACGAAATTCTCGTGTAGGCCTTTTTTTTCCATTTTTACGGAACGTGGCTGTGTCCCTCTATGCGTACGTTTGTCAAAAGCAGAGTCGTTTGCACGTTCCTCACGCAGTGCCAGGTACGAATAATTATCTTGGCCGTGAGAAAAAAAGAAAAATTGTCTCGTTCTTTGTTACCCACTTTATGTCCAGGCTGAGTCTAGAATTCAGACTGCGTCATCCTGGGCTACGATGATTCAGATCTCAGGGTAGTCGAGCAAATAAATTTCCAGCGAAACGTCCAGCTCGTCTGGCACGTGGCACTGGTCATTGTGCAAGGAGGCTGGGAGAGGGGCGGGGGTGTTGAGAAAATTTCATTAAACGAATTTTACTGTAAAATATTCATTCGCTGCAGAGGCGCGAAAAACGTTCTTTTTATTTTACACGCAACCGACAAGGAATTTGAATTTCAAATTACCTGCATTAGAAACACCATTTTATTCAGTTTGCGTTTCGGTATGAACGTTAAATCCTTTTGAAAATGACGTCTCCGTAGCTTAAAGAAATACGTCGGAAATTAATAAGAATACACGTTAATACCGAGTATTACGTCGAACTCAAAAAATCCAATTTCTCGTCAAAGTAACTTTTTTTTTTCTTTCTGATAAGCACAAAATCAATATTCCAGATTTGGCTGTCACTCGGGTCTCTTATCATTCATGGGACTTTTCTGTCCTCACGTTCCCTTTTTCAATTCCAGTAGAGCTTCCTGCTGCTTACGTCGTTAGGCTTGTGTCACGTGATTGGAATGACGACACGGACTGGTTGCCATTAGAATTTACGATAAGACGAACGATTCACTCTGTATCGTAATTGGGTTAGTTCACTTTGTTTACTTGGTATATCAGTCTGAAGTTATTCTAAAAGTAGCCTGACGGTTATACGTTACGCCGAAGCTGGGATCACGTAGAATATCTTTGTGTCTACTGCAGCCATTATTTTTCCGAGCGAACGTTCTTTCACTCGCAGACAGTCCATTTGATATTTGCGAGACAACTGGCTTTCGAGTCCACTGCCCGTGTAAAACCTTTGCCCGTTTACTTTCCAGGACGAAGGATGGAAGCTGAATCGTACAAATTACTACCAGGAGGGATGGCTGGCTACTGGCAATGCTCGAGGCCTGGTTGGAGTTACGTTCACTACCTCCCACTGCAGAACAAGGGCTGCCGAATTACCGCTTCGTGCGAACTATAACCTCAGAGGCCATCGGAGCGAGGTCAGTCAAAATTAAACCTTTACACGATTATTAGGGGGGATAAAAATAAATTTTTTAAAAGAACAGTATATAACGTGCTGGTGTTAGCTTATAACGGGGACTGATTTCATTATTTCTTTGCACGAGCTTTACGTTCGGAAAGTAAAACATGGACCGGAGGAGCCATTGTTTTGTGTTTTGATTTATCGGGAACGCGTTTGCCGGCCACTTGGGTTTCCATGGATTCAGTCGGTAAAATTACCACACGATCGTGAGATAGGGTTTGAACGGGGTCAACCCCAGATGTACCGTATTGTTAAACCTCGCAGTAATTAACTGCGAATCTTCCGTGAATTGAGCATAGAAAATAGAAAAAAGAGCAGACAAGCAACCCACGTGTTATCGCTGCATTGTTTTACATAATGAATTTTTCTCGTTCGATACTGTGCACCGTGCGTGTGTATCCAAATGTTAAGAACAGTCTTCCTTTTCCTTACTCTAAGGCATATGACAGATACACGTAAGGGGTGTAAGTGGGAAGAAAAATGTAACGGGCGAACGAGACTCACGGCGAAGATGGACGAAATTTAATAAATTTCCTCGAAGAATGTGGGTAGCGGCACAGGCTGTTCTATTGTCAGTGATCATAAGGGTCCACGCGTAAGGGTCGGAGAGGCTTAGGTAAACGATTTAACCCGTATTAAATATCTGTTCATAGACTCGTTCGTCCCACTCGTTCAAATACCGCAGGGCATTATCGTCGCGGTATAGCGTTACGCGCACAAAGTATACTACGGCCAGCCGTAGGAGAGCTTTGAAATCTCGCGGGCTTCCAATTAGAATTGACCGGCGACAGATGGCGCGGCGGTCGAGAATATTCCTGCGGAAGTAGGTCCGTATCGCTGCTTCTCAGGCGCCCGGCTTAATTTCACGCTACACCCTCGACTTGAAGTTTACACGAAAGTCCACGGGCATTAGGGGCTGAAAGTTGCTCCCAAGAAAATATAGAGCCAACCAATTTCCTCCGAAGGGTTCCTCTCGAGGGCTACCCTCTATAAGTCGGCGCACACGCACGGCCCGCTTCTATCGTACGTACCAACCGCGCGGTATAGGAATATTTGTTATCACGAAGAAAAAGCATCGAGACTCGCGCGCGTGACGGACGCGTTAAATCGGGATATGAATAGGGGTGGTTGCGATCTAGTAGAGGGTCGCGCCGGGCCACTTGGAACGTGCCAAAGTCATCGGTTCAACCCTTGTGCCATACCATATGGGAATTCTGTGGAACCATACCTGATATAATTTTAGGTGCAAAACTACCCCTCGTGCTTATTACTCTCCATCTGTATGCTCCTCTACAGGTTGATGCACTCGGAGTGCACCTGTCTGCCTGCTCTGCTTTAAAAGGGTGTATTAAATAGAAGGGAACCCTTGGAATGATTTTCATATAATTTCTTATAGGGATCGGTTAATACGGCGCGTGGTAAAGTGCAGCCTAATTTCAGCAGGTTACCGTATCTATTTATTCACCCGATTACATAACTCAGATACTCGGAGACGTTCGCGAGCTTGACTGGCATTAATAATGCCGGCTTAAAATTGCCAACCCCTTGTATCCCCAGCCTCTCAAGCGCCTCTACGTACTCTGAAACTTTATTACTACGTAGCTCATAGACGCTTCTCCCTGCGACCCCCGTCTGACGGTATTTCGGATTCACCCTTTTTTCCCCTCGCCGACCCCTTTGTCCATGCAACGCCCTATTGCCTCTCTCTCACCCTCGTTCGGCTCCGACCGAAAACAAGGGTTAAAGAGCCTCCCGTCACGTGACTAGTTCGACCTACCCTCATCCCTTATTCTTATATTTGCTTCACAGCGATCCACTGCAACACTGCGTAGGCAATTTCTGTTGACGCCTGGAATTCACACGAGCTTTAAATTCCACCCTTATGTATATGGATATATATATATATATATATATATATATATATATGCAATGTACATTGGGGTTTATCGGAACGGTTATCGGGATATTTCTTTTCGACTCGATATATTAGGTCGGTTTGTTCTACCTATTTTTTGTTCACCCTATTGCGGCAACAGTGACCTTCGCTAGGAGTATATATATATATTAATTATTTTCCTCACTACCGTATCCTATATCACTCTTATGTATGTACTTTGTATAGCTATAATTTTTTTTATTAACCTATATATATATATATTTGCATACCTAGATGAAAGAACGTTCTATATGTAGCTATGCAGATATTCGAAAGTTATATAGTCAGTTTAATTATTTGTACATAATAAATTGCCGACGCGAAGCGTCGCGACGCTCTTTGCTGCAGTTGGGCAAATTTGCCATTGGCACAGGTATCCGCGTGCATGGCGCAGAGCTGATTCTATATACGTCTACGCGGATGAATACACGTGCAGTTATTCATATGCCAGTTCGAAACGCGTGGACAGGGGATGAAATCGACTTGAAATTTTTTTTTTTTTCAAAATTTGAGCTCAACATTTTTCTGGCGCAGCGTAATGTATTTTTAAAATTTTACTCCCTTTTCATTTTCTCTCTTTCTCAAAGCGATACAGCTTTTCGGGGAATATTCGTGAAATACGAAGAATGAGGTAATTTAATTATTTTCCTCACTACCGTATCCTATATCACTCTTATGTATGTACTTTGTATAGCTATAATTTTTTTGATTAACCTATATATATATATATGCTATTAACCGTTTCATTACTTCGGCTCTCTTAGATCGTTAATGCACCCCAGGAATAACTTTTCAATACGACTGTACACGAGTATAGGAGTCGCGTGATACAACGTGGCCTTATAATTTCCTCGTGAAATATTCACAGTAATTCCAATCTGTGATTCTTTTTCTTTTGGACCTCATCCAAACCAGGTACCAGGCACCGTGAGCACGGAGCGGGTATTTCCTTCGGTATTAATTTAACCGACTGGACTTTGAAGGCTACTCGACCGAGTTTAATCAGATAATCCCAGAGACGCGAGTGCCGCAATACGAAAGGATTCAAAGAGTAAAAGACATTTAACAAGGAGCTAAGGGACGCTGAGAGATTGGAGAAAAAAAAACAGAAGACAGCGATATATAAAAGTAGAACCTCCAAGAATATACCGAGCTGAGAGTCGCGATTTGAATCCCATGAGAAATTTGAAAGATGTCTACTTTTTCGTAAACTTTGACGTTCTTCGACGTCCTTACACCTCGAGGATTATTTTCTTTTAATATTTAGCCGTAATCGCCACTCAGGGACTTTCTTCAATATAATTCTCTAAGGTCTCCCTTACGTCATGACGTGGGATTTTCTTGTACTTTTTTTTCTTCCTCTTCCTCCCCTATTTCTCACCAGAACTTCCCACGCTCTCCTGATACCCAGGACCAATAAGGATGTCAGGATCGATGCCACGTACCATATTTCTCGACAGGGCTTGAAATTGCGTAGGATATTTATTGCCCGGATTTATGATTTCGGGGCTGGACTCGAGTGAATTTTATCGAGTCAATAAAAAAACTAACGACGAAAGATTCAATAGGCGTCTGTATATAAATTGCATATAAAAATCAATGACTATGTCACTCTCTCGGTGGAATTATTAAATTCGATTCGTCGGGACGTCGGTTGCACTGGATTACGAAATTCGCATTGATTTACGTATCGTGGGAAAATTTTATTTTTTACCTCGCTATTATTATTATTCGAATTTCAACTATTCGCACGTCATTGACCTCGATCGGAATATAGTATATAGTATATATGAATATGAATATGAATGTATACAGTATATATGAATTTTACTTTTATTTTATATATATCCCAGTAAAATTCAAACATCAAAGCCTATGCTTCTACCTCGTCACGGGCAGAAGGATCTCCTCTTGGATTATCGAATGGATTAATTGAAATTAATTAAATCGAACTATCTATCAATACCGTAAATCCTTTCGTCACTGACTCGAGTAGCCGCAGCAGTTATACAATACCTTATCTCCGTCTATAATAATAACAACAGCCCTAGGATAATATCTTTTGGAATCATTTGCATATCTCCACTGTCGACACAAAAGCTTCGCGGCACACTCGGCTATTGTCAGAGCTCCCTCTTTGTCTCGTTTACCTGGCTAATTTAATCGTTATCACAATCTAATCAATACCTGTACACACCGACTAGGCTCACGGAGGAGTTGGCTGAAAATTTAAAGATTTTTCCTAACCTCACTCTCAGCGTCGTCCTTGAATTTCAAATTGAAGCACTTGAGCAGTCCTATAGCATGTAACTTGTGTATAAGGAGAAAAATGTTGGTGGGGGTTTTAACGAAGTTTATTTATTTTTTTTCGTCAATGTGCCAGATAGATAGAAAAAAAAATTAACTCGACGTCGAGCGTCGATAAGAAGGTGGCAGCAATCGCTTTGGATACGAGGATTAAAATTTGAGGGGATGCAAACACGCGAATATAAGATCCACGTAAATTGATGATTTTGTAAAGAATTTAATTTAAAAAAAAAATATCTTTCCATTCACCGTGACACTTTAACGGGGAAAAAAGATCGTCTTTGGCTTTGCGTTCCCTTCGGTACCGCAATTTCAGAGTTTAAGGGTAGCGGTAGGTTATCGATCTGACACGCAGTGCTGTTTTAACCCAGGGGTTCTCAATGCATGGTCTGGATACGATCTTTCGCTTTGTCACTTTTATTCCTAACCTGTACGATTGTCGCGTATTGGATCCTATATATATGTGTTTATTCCAGGGCGTATCCCCTTTTCTTTTTCACCTGTTCGAATGAGAATTGCGAATGAAATGCGCTAATGCACGAGCTATTTTCTCGGCAAGAACGTCATTCATGGGAATCAGTGTAATTTACATAATAAAACCTCATTTGGTTGATATGCCCTTTTACTATTATATACAAGACCTAATAAATCGTACTGTTATGGTAACTTTTTCAATGGGGTGTATTTGAGGAAATATGAATTGGGTAATATTA